TTTCGCCGTTCCGTGCTGAAGGCCTCTAAGCTGTCCTTCAAGTACAGGTCTAGATATTTTTGATTTATGAACATACAGACAAGCATCGACAAACTCAACAATTGAAATTCTGACCTCAGGGCTGCACATAAAATAAAATGATGGATCGTTTGGAATTAGTTTAATTGTTAATGAACAGCCTCCAACCAGCGCTTTATTTTGTTCAAACAAAGGAATGCGAGTCTTCCCATTAAATCGATCTCCCTTCCTTCAGTAACATCAGTGGCCCCTTCAAGAGGTTCTATAAATTTGCTCCTTTCTGAATTTATACCTTCTAAGTTATCTTTATCGTCTTCAATCCATAAAATAGATGACAAATATGAATCTTTTGCTTCTTTACTTTTACCGAGTGTAATTTTAAGATCTGTTTTATAGGTCTTGGGTCATTTGACCTACGGGACATTTGACCTACAGTTTTACCTACGATTTCCGGGAGTCATTTGACCTACGGGACATTTGACCTACAAGTGATTACCTACAAAATTTTGATATTGTAATGTCTATCTTAGGCCTTAATCCCTACTCTCACCCTATTGGCTGTTTTAGGCCTTATTTTATGTATACTCACATTATATAACATATCGCACTGTATAACATAGAGGAGTATTGTATCGGAGCTCCTACGGAGAGGCACCCATAATGTAGTAGTGGTGCCTGTGCTGGGCCTGAGCTATGCTCAGCGCTATTATGTATACTTATGCTATACAAATAATAATAATAAAAGCTAATGTTAACCTAAGAAAGTGTATTTATTTGAGTGCTGACCAACTAATAATAATTTTAATAATCTAATAAATAATAATAATAAAGTACAGCCTGATAAGGCCTAGAATATTCAGGGCTAAGAACATTCGAAGCCTTACAATATTGTGATAACTTTTGAACCATAATAGGTAGATGGGTGTTGTAATGGAATGGAATGTGTTAATTATCTTCTATTGACCATGGAGGAATATTATCAGATCGAGCTCAAGAAGTGATTTTCTATACCTACAAATCGAGCTGATTCCAACGATGTATCACATAACATTGTCCAATGACCTGGAACCGCTATGGTGATAATTCATACCTTCACTTTCAATCCATCAAATCATTTCATTACAACACCCATCTATCTATTATGGTTCAAAAGATATCACAATAACAATATATTGTAGGTAAACACATGTAGGTCAAATGTCCTGTAGGTCAAATGACCGAATACCTATTTTTGGATGTTTTCCCAAAACAATGTCTCACTATAAAAGCGATCACACAAATAAATTATTTTTAGTTAATTCAGATTTAAATGTTAAAAAGTTATATCATCTGTTTATTGGGCATTATTATGAAAAATCAATCAAAACTTGAAATTAAGTTACTGTATGTTTGCCCAACATATTACTACTAATTATAGCACTGGTTTTAAACCTTTATCTATAGATAAATGCAATTTTTGTGAAATTTATGAGAAAAATAATGATTTTATAGTTTATGTATTTTATGAATTTGAGTCACATTTATTAGAAGTTCAAGAATATAATTATCTGAAAAACGGTTTAATAAGTAGTAATAAAAACATTTGTCTGGAATTTGATTATTGTTCAAACAAAAGTTTGCCAAAATTAAATGTAAATGAATTTTATTACAAGAGCTCCTTATTTATATCTTTTTAATATTCAAGTTTATACCCAATAATAGTTATTTTTACGAAATTGGAGGGATGTTCAAAAAGGGATCAAATTCTGAGGCTTCGTAATTATATAATGTTTTAATGTTATTGAATAATGAAATTAATTTCTATTCTTATGATAGAATAGTGTTTTTAAGTGATTCGTGCGGTGGTCAGAATAAAAATAAGTTAATCATTAATGTTTATCAATATTTTTCGACGGGTGTGGGTCTATTGACCTAAAGACCAATTGACCTAATCTTAAATAACTTAATTACCAGTAGGTAAATATACCTGATGACCAGTGTAAAATGTTTCCCTTGACCTAACCTAACCTTACCTATCGTTACAATGGTCAAAAGTCTATTGGTCATTAAGTTATTTAAGTTTAGGTCAATTTGCCAGTTCCCTTTTTCAATATTAAATTGACCCATGTCTTTCCTATACGTGGGCATTCATACAATAGAAATGATGCTAATTATGGTTTTATTGGGGAAAAACTGAAAAATAATTTATTTGAAGTTCCCAATGATTATATCAAATTAATTAAAGAATTGAATAAATTGCGAGTAATTAATACTCGTGTTTTGAAAATCAATACGATCAATAATATGGTATCAGAGTATAGCGTCAGATACCACGTGGTGGGAACCAAGGAAACCAAATCCCTTATTTTTATACATAGACAAACCCTTAATAGTCAAGTAAAGCAGTGGACATAAGTATTAATATCATATAGTTTACATTTAATTATTAAAATTCATTATTTCCTAAAATGTGATTTTTCTAAAAATAGAGCTTATTATGAATTGAATTAACTTAATTTTGCATTAAATATCCTAAATTCTACAGCAAATTGACTAAACTGTGCAGTGAATTAACTGAATTGTACACTTAATTAATTTAATTGTGCGTTGAATTAACTTAATTGTGCATTAAATATCCTAAATTATATACAAAATTTATTTAATCGCTCACTGAATTATCTAACTAAGTTAATTTAGTGCTGAATTAAGTGAATTCATTGCACAATTAAGTTAATTCAATGAATAAGAAACTATATTTTAGAAAAATCACATTTTAGGAAATAATGAATTTTAATAATTAAATGTAAACTATATCATATTAATACTTATGTCCACTGCTTTACTTGACTATTAAGGGTTTGTCTATGTATAAAAATAAGGGATTTGGTTTCCTTGGTGGGAACAACCAATGAGACAGGTGGTCAAAATGGGCGTATAATGTAATTGTAATGTGGTGCAACTGTATTTATTGTATTGGTACTGATGCTATAGTGTATTGGTTTGACAAATGACAAAATAAATATGTTTTACTGTCCTATATGTGTAAAAAGTGTGAAATTTTGATTCATTTTTTTTGTGAATCATTTTTATCGCTAATCTCTTTTAATCTCTTTTTCACAATTTTGGTTCAAAAAATATATTCATCGATTAAATTCAAAAATTAAGGGATAAAATGAATATTTAATCATTTTATTCATACAACTATTTATTTAAAGTATTATTTGCTGATAAGCAACTCCAAATAAACTACCCTGCGTCATATTTATTTGTAATTAAAAGTATTTTGCATGAATAAAATGTTGAAACATTCTTTTTATCTTTTAATTTTTGAATTTAATCGATAAATATATTTTTTTGAACCAAAATTGTGAAAAAGAGATTAGCGATAAAAATGATTCACAATAAAATAAATCAAAATTTCAAACACTACATATATAAGTCTCTCTCTCTCTCTCGCCCGCCCTAGTATTAAGACATAGTTGTCAGGTTTGATACCAGAATTTGTCACATGCTTTTTTTGTGGCCCACTCACATATACTGTAAGCCATTATTTGGGGGACATGTTGTTCAAAAATAATACACAGGTGGGTATGAGCACTAAAAGTCTGATTTTAATACCAACAAATACTGTATTAAAATTATATTGATTTTGTATTGCATTGAAACTTGTATAGCAACTGTATGCAAACAAACCACCCTTTTATCCATACCTGCTCATATTTACTTTGAATGACAAACATTTTTATGTAGGGTCGTTTTTATGTTTAAAAGTATGAAATAATTATGATTTTTGTAATTTATTCTAGCTCAAACAGTATTTTCTAGAGGATTCTGTAATGTTTTCGACATCATATTTCGATGTAATAAACAATGATCTTCAAAAACTTTATTATTTACATTTTTGGATGATAATATATTTTGTAATGGCTCAGTGTAGTTTTAAAACAACCGTTGTTTCTATGGGAAATATTTTTAATTTAATTCTGCCATGTTACAATATCGTATAATTTTTAGTAAAAATTTATTTCAAATAAATGTTAAATATTCAGTTTAAAATAAAATTCTACAGTATTAAAAATTTAATAAGCAATATTAACTTTTTCAATTTTCGTAACAATATCTTATTACTGATACTATTGAAAGGAAGGGCCATGCTAATAGGTGCCGGCTTAAATTGCATTTAATGCTATTTAGAACTGCATTAAATTTATATTAATATCACCTATTACAAATTATCACTTATAATCAAAAGTTATTAAAGTTTGCGATAAAAACTTTTCGAGAGATGAGAGCGATTTGATTGATTAGATTGTTAGGGATGAGTGAATGGGAACGGGATTTGGGTCGCTGTCGGAACGGGAGATGAAGTGGTGTCTGATATTCTTTAAAATGTAATAATTCTCAATGAAATTTTATTACCAATAAAATATTTATTAAAGTGGTTGAAAATTATTATTTATTTTGTTTATCCTTTATTATACTAATATTATTGTTAAAATATAGTTGACCTCGTCTATATAAACGCATTGATTAAACTACAACAAATAGCAAGGGACAGAGATAGTCCGAATAAAATATAAGTTATAAATATGGCAATAATGGGTTTAAATTCAAATATAATAGGTATACTAAAAACAAAGTAATTAACAAATGGACATGATTCTCAAATACACCCCGGTTACCAAACAATAAAGTCAAAACATTTGCGCGGCGTATAGGTATATGAGCAGAGGTGTTAATTCAAATTTTAAAATAAAATCATATTATTTTATTAAAATATAGTAAATACCCATCGAGTAAACATTAAGACTTTTGGTAACGGGTGTGTATTTGTGAATCGTGTCTATTTGTTTAATTTCTTTGCTTATAGTATTCCTTTTTTTGTATTCGAGCCTATAATTGTCATATATATAACCGATATTTTACTCGGTCTATCTCAGTCCCTTCATTTAAGGATTTGTAATAGGACATTTAGGACAAATTGTTTTAATATTACTGTATATATGGATGTATGATATTCAATAACCAGTTGACATGCCTAGACAATTCATACAGCTATATTACAAATAAATAGCATGACATTTCAATTTGTTAGGTATTTAATGAGCAGTAATTATTGTATCATACATTAACTAACGTAGATACAATTTCTTAAATATTACACGGTTTATAAGGCATTCGTAATATGGACAAACATATCCGTGTGGTACGTGACTTATTATTTTTTAAACCACACGGGGGTGAAACACATTCCGTTGAATACGCACTGGACTACCAGCCCTTGCCAGGGGACCGTATGATGAGCGCCTACCCTAAATCCGGTAACTTTTGGACTTTTAATATTGTCCTGTCAATCGTGGGAGACATTTATGTCGGCCAATATATACCGAAGGATAGGTATTATAAATTAGGCCTTGAATTCCGTGTCTCCAGTGAACTGGTGGACAGGGATGGGGAGAACTGTCAGTTCCACGCGACACACCTTAGCATGACACACCTGGCCTATAATCCCGGTGCCAAGTATTTGTTGCTCGTGCGTAATCCGAAAGACGTTTGCGTTTCTTACTTTCATTATTTTAAACAAAAACTTAAATTGGATCTCGATTTTCATGAGTTTTTTAAGCTCTGGATCACCGGAAAGGACTTACCGTACGGCGACTACTTTACGGCGATTAAGTCTAGTTGGGAGCACCGGGAGGACAGCAACTGTACTCTCATTACCTATGAGGAGATGTTAGCGAATCCGAGGGACAGTATTGTGAGAATCGCCTCATTCTTGGGCACCAAATATGTGCACCGACTGTATGGCCAGTGCGATGATGGTGGGCACGGCACCGGTAGTAGCAGTGATGACTTCCTATTGGATCGCATTATTCGAGAGACCAGTTTTAAGGCCATGAAAAGTAATCATGAGTTAAAGAATCACTTCCGGAAAGGTATTGCCGGCGACTGGAGGGCTGTTATGACGAGAGATGAGAGCGATTTGATTGATGAGAGGGTTAGGGATGAGTGGATGGGAACGGGATTAGAGTCACTGTGGGAACGGGAGATGAAGTGGTGATTGAAACTAAAAAAATCATTTTCTCATGTTTAATAACTACTGTATAACCAAGATTAAAAACTTTGTAACTTTTAGTATAGTGCTAACAATTTGTTATATTGCTAACAGAAAATAAATAATTTAGTCAATAA